CCCTCGCATCCCAGCAGCGATCTTGTCTCTTCTGGGCGAGAAGGCAGGAAAACCGCTGCTGGAGACCTTTGATCTGCAATCCAGCAGCTGCTCTGAGTTTGGTGTCCTGCCCCCCCGCCCCGCCAAGATGTTCTCCTAGGAAGTGTCCCCCACTCCTTCTGGGCAGTTTTCTGCTGTAGGAAGAGCAGAAATTTTAGTCTGAACAACTTAATTTAAACTTTAAAAAAAAATCAAACCATCAAAAAAGTCAGGTTTTCTCTGTTCTGGCTTGCTAAAGAGCATTTCAAAGGGTTGGGGTTTTTTTTGGGGGGGAGGGATGGGAACTGGGAGCTTCTTCAGGGAAAGCAAGAAACCTCTGACATTTGAGTTAGATATTAAGAACAATGAACAAACCTATAGAATTAAAAGCATTCTGAGAACAAGTCCCTTTCCAAGGACCCTTCTTGCTATTTGTTCTGCAAGCATTTTTAGGAGAAACAATATAGACAGATAAGGCCTTCAATATTTAACGGGGAAATGAGAAAAGATAGCAACTTACAAGCACATTTCTGGCTTTTGTCAGTATAGTGCCCAAGACATGTATTGGGTGCCACCAACTTTGTGAAGTTTAAAATTTCTTGGCTTTCAGACTTTGGTGTAAGAGATAAACCACCATTTTGGTGTTTTCCTTTAGAATTATGGGTGGCTTCAGAGAAAGTAACAAGTTTCTTGCATTGAAAGCATAGGAAATAATTCACAGCTATAAAACCATGTTGAATTAAGATGCAAATAGTGTTAAAAAGAATGAAGAAAGTGTCTTTGGGATATTTATGGAAGAGTACTACAGAACCTGGTCATAAAACGTCTTTAAATTGTTATCTGAAAAAGATCACATAAACATGTAATTAGAGCCTCTGTAGTAACAGCGTATGGCCCCACACATCAGAATTAAGATTAAGTGGGGGACATTACCCCAGTACTTCCTGATGTCCAAATATCTCCTCTGCATGAGGAACACACTTGGGCAGGCTCACTGCTGTCCTGTGCCCGGAGCAGGTTCTGCTGGCTTATTGTCCCACCAGAAGGGATGCTTTTACTCAGAAACCACATCTGGAAAGTAGCTGGCAAGCAGTGGAAACTGGTCTCTCAGACATCTGTTATGAACAGGTTACTGGTGGGAAGAGTGTTCTCTGGCAAAGCGCGGACAGACAGAGGCGATTGAGGATCATTTGTAAGGAAGCTGATGATTTCACTGTGTTCTTGACAAGGAATTTTCTAACCAGAGGGCACTACTGGGAATTCCCCGTGGCACTTGTAAGGCACATCTCCCATGTCTTCATTTCAGGGTTGGACTTGATGATCTTAAAGGTCCCTTCCAACCTAGGTGATTCTATGATTCTGTGATTCCTCCCCCGGCCCCGATAATACCATCTGGGCTACTAGGAGAGTACTTCAGCTGCTAAAAAAAGGGTGGTTAGCTGGGGGTATGCCTAACTGGAGCAGCCCACCTCTAATACATGTCCTACAGATCCACCTGATTTGGACCATATAGCTGTGCCCTCAGTCCTGCTCCAGTGCTCCCACTGGTGGTGTTCCCCTGCAGATGTTCTGTGCAATCCTGTTCTTTATGTTAAGTAGGAGCCAGGGAACATCTGGTACCATTTGTTCCTCGGGAGGGTGTCCTGCCCTTTCTTTGCTTAAGGGCAGAATACATGTAGGACCATGGAATACACATAGGACCACAGAACACCAAAACTAGCACCTGTTTGCTGCCTGCTTGACTCAGCTGTGTTACAAGAGGACTGGACAATAAATCCAGACAATATCAGAGCAAAGTAAAGAAATTGTAGATCTTCAGCACAGTCAAAGATGCCAACATCCTCTCATGGAGACTCCTGCTTCGAATACAGTGTGTTGCAGGAGGTCACTGGAAGGGAACGTTCTCTTACAGACTCGGAAGCCGTGAGATCATCCCCTGATATGCAGTACCTCTCATCCACTAAGCAGGAGAAGATGAGTTGGATACTTTACCCTCACAGTTGAAGCAAGAAGGGCAGAGAAATACCTCTGTTGGGCCTCCTACAGCTACACCACCTACCCTAGAGTACACCAGCGCCACAGACCCAGGCTTACCTGTAAATACTGAGCTGCTTTCCCAGGGCACTCTACCTTCAACCCCTTGGTTTGACTATCCATCACAACCTTTTGGGGACACTGCCACCAGCCACAGGGCTTGGGCTTCACACAGCCAGGCCTGTGCTATCCAATGGCTTACCACTTTTCTGGAAAAATCGTGCCACTCCTGCAGCTCTGGCTGATATGTAGATGACCTACACCAACAGGAGGCATAGGAGTGGGTCTTCCTCCTGGCATGAGATCGTGAGCAGTATTGTCACCTTCGTAGTCTGTTTCTGTGTCTTCTAACTCAAGGAGCAAACCCAAGTGTAATGCCCCAAAAGGAACGTAGTTCTGCAGCACTAGCCACTCAGCAAGGGGCAAGAACCAAGACAGTGTCCTCCCAATATCACACCGTATCCCCTGCCTTATGCTAGCACCCTCACCTCCCACAGGCTTGTCTCAGCGATATAGTACTGTTGAGCAAAGCCACCATCTGACTTAGGCATCACACCTATAGCATGATTACAAAAGAAAAAGCTGTGAATTATTAGTGCTGGTAGTTACTAACTGAAACCCCAGAATAGATTGGAATACTATCTCTTATGATTATTACGAGTGTGGGCCACATCAAGTGGGTATGATTCCTATCTGTGGTTCTGGCACAACCATTTGCTTCCTAAAGACAAGAGGCTGTCATGGATGTATGATGGCTGGCAACCAGTCAGAAGCAATCCACTCAGCATATCACCTCACAGGCTTACCAATTATGTGGATGGTTGGCATACCAGTGGAAGAGTCTGGCTAACCACCTGAAGGCAATAGCTCTCTACCATCAAACCAGAATGTAGGCCAAAAAGTTTGCACCAGCTTTTGGTACAGTTGAAATGAGTTGATGAGTTGTTGATCACACAGTCTGGAAGACAGCAGTCTGGACATGGTGAAGGGAGCTTCATGTTAGGGATCGGAAGCATCTCAGAAGGGCTCTCATTGTATGGAGGAGTATGAAGAGGGCAACAGTTGAACCAGCTTCAGCTGCTGTCGGTCAAAGCTCTGCCTTTTGCAACCTCGTGACACAACACAAAATAATGTAGAGGCTCCTTATGGGAGAAGGAATGATGGGTTGTGGAGGTCTGCACAGAGCAGATAAATGACATGCTGAATGGTGTTTGCTCGTTGGGTTTGATTGTGTCCCACGCAGTGGTACTCTTGCACTGTGGATATTGACAGGGGGCTGCAGCCTGGGATGTCCTGAGACAAACTTGAAGAGCCAGAGGTTGACATTATAGGTGCAGCTGTAACTCCCCAACCCCTTATCACACGTTCTGAAGTAATGCTTTTCTCATAGCACTCATCTTTGCAGTTCTCTGAGAACTTTGCAGTTTCTCTTTGGAAAATACTACATTTTAGATGAGCTGCTGGAGGAAAAAAAATACACTTTCTCAGCTCCAAAAGGGCCTGTGTTTTCAAAATCTGCCTACCTCTTGGTTCTCTGTGATGTCAGTAGCTACGCATTTCTGTGTACCCTGCCCTTCAACCTTTTGTTGGGAGGCAACTGCAAGCGTTCCTCAGAAATAACTGCCTGTGGGCTCGTCCACCTTGCATCAGGTGTCTTCATTAAAGGACACATCGGCCTTTGGCACTTGTCCCGCTTTTCAGGGGACCTCACCTCCTTTGATCCTGCCCCTTGTTCTCTCATCATAGACAGGAGCTGTGAATCAGGGGAGCAGTGATGGCCAGGGGCAGACGCTG